CGCCTGGCTCAGAGCGGAAATGGGCTCAACGGTTGGCAGGCATAGTTTTTGATCGCAAGCGCACTGGAGACGCCGGACGCCGTCCAAAAATCGTAACTAGCGAACTACGGCCTTATTTGCGCCAACAGGAGATGAGAAGGGGTGGGGCAACGAGGGGACAGCGGAGGGAGGACCAAACAAGAGGCGGGCCTCGCTGCCGCTCAGAGAAAGGCGCCGTCGACTGGGCGGGAGCCGTCAGCTGGAGTGCAACGCCAAAATGGCAGGGGGATTCTGGTTGGGCGACACCGCGAGCGTGCCGGAAGTCAGTGAACACCGGCTCGAAGACGCACCACGACAAGCAGGCGGCAGGGGCCAACGGTCACACCGTCACGCGGGTAGCGGGCGTACTCCACGCGCCGCCAGCTGTCAACCAACACACGTGCAGGCGCTCGACAGACCAAGGTCCGGATCGCCAGACACTGTCAAAGACTGATGTCGTGGCCGCGTAACACGGAGCGGGGGATGCATGCGGACGCGCGCCCACAGGGTGGGATCGATCCAAGCGATCGAAGGCCCTGGAGCGCATCATGGAAGCGTCCAGCCGCGAGCGTGCTGGATCCCGCTTGGGGACCGGCGGGGAGGCAACTCGCACGGTGGGGGGCGACCGAGAGGTCAGCAAACCCCAGGCAGGTGAGGGAAGCAGCCGCAGGCCAAGAGCCGCAGGGGGCGGAGAGGCCGAGGCGGAGAGGGCAGGGCTGATGGGCATACTTTTTGGTCAGCGGCCTCGTGAAGCGGGTCAGAAGGCGTCCAAACTCTAGCAAGGTCACGAATAGGCAGCAGAAAAGCGGAAAGCGGAAAAGAAAACAAGCGCATAGAGGGGCAAGCGAAGCGGGCGCGCGGGCAGCCACTCAGACGTGCACCAGGAGCGGCACTACTGGTGGGCATACTTTCTTGGTCGCGGCCGCGAGACGACGGTCAGGCAGCAAGAGCAAAGCCCGGGACCCGAACTAGGCGAATTAGCTAAGACAGGCGCAAGCCGGCTGGCCCATTCAGACAGCAGCTGCGAAGCTGAGGGGGGTGGAGCTGATGGCGGACATCGCCCTGCAAGCTCGAGCACGTGCGCAGGACAAAGTGTCTCGGAATTCAAGGCTTGCCATGGCGCAACCCACACAGAAGAGACGAGGACCACCATGGTCAAGTCCGCCGTGCGGGGGGATGGCAAGTGGGGGGCCATTGGAGTGAGTCGCCGATGGGGCGCCGGGCTCCGAACGCCCTGACGACCTGAACCAGCCAGACAGGCTGAGCAGTCGTGAGCCGTGGTGCAACGCAACTGGGGAAATTGAGGGTAGCCCGTAGGGCTGTACCTGCTGCGGAAGGCTGTGCCGCTCTGCACCAAGGCCAGCCCCTGTCAGACCACCCCACAGTGCACGGGGGTAACCGAGCGACTGTGAGCCACGCAGCGCGTGCCGTCGAGGCGTGGCCACTGAGTGGGAGGGAACCCGCTGGCGTGGTCAGCATCGCCAGCGAGGAAAAGTCGGGGGAGCTGCGCTGGAGGTGGTGGTGCCGTGACGACGAAACAGGGCCAGAGCAGGTGGGTCCCCAAGAGACAGGTAGAGCTGTACCTCACGGGGCATGTGGCGCCAGTGCGAGCGGGGTGTGCCGTTGTCGTAAGGCGATGCGCCTGGGGGGAGCTGCGCAGTGGTAGACACGAGGGCCACCAGGCGCAAAATCAGACCCAGCCCGCCGCTGGCACTTCCGCCCAAGCTCCCGGAACGTCAACAAACACCGCGTGGCCCTCCAGGGTCGCAGCTGACCGCCGCTGAGCGCGATGAGACAAAACACGTACGGCGAGGGGCGCAGGCGGCCCAGGGAGGGGGGGCAACAGCACCAACGTCGGACAGAACGTCAGGCGGGCCCCGGGGCCCAGAGCGGGGGACACCCGCCTGGCCCCAGAGGAGAGAGGCGGGGGGGGAGCCGCCCCTCCCCTCGGTCTGGCCCCGCACCCGTGGGACAGGGGAAGTGGTTATTGGTTCCTCCAGGGTCGCCGCTGATCGCCGCTCAAGACAGTGAATTGGCGGGTGGGCCTTTCGAAGTTTACGAAGCAGAGGGAGGTGGGGTCCTGCGTGGACCTCGGGCAGCGCTGGGTGTTGGTCCGTTCCCGCGGAGAGTGATGCCTCAGGATGCCTCAGCGGGGATGGTGGGTGCTGGTCCTCCAGGGTCGCAACTGACCACCGCTGAAGTCGGTACTTGCCACAACTGTGACCTGGCTAGGTCGAGCCTGCCGCCGCGCAGGGGGGGGGTCCAGTGGCCGACGCCCCGCCTCAGGCGGGCGGGTTGGCTATCGTCGTCGGACAGCAAAGTGCATGAGCCAGGGGCCTGTCTGCCCGGGACGGGCCGGCCCCGCCGTGCCCGAGAGGGCGAGATGTCGAGTGCTTGGGGGGGGGGCCCTCCGCGTCGGGCTCGAAAAAAAAGGGTAGGTCCACTTGTCCAGTGCGGGCTGTCTAGCTGTGCCGCGCCGTGGGTGAGATGTGGGGCTAGCCTACGCCCCAGCGGAGGTTGCCCCCAGGTATTGCGGCCTGAGCCGGGCGCGGCGAGGTGAAACTGGCCCCTTCGGGGCAAGGAGGAGCCGATGAGGGGGGGGGGGCAGGTTTCCTTGGGCAGGAATCCACAGGATGCTGAGGTGGGCCGTGTCCGGCACAATCAGCCTTGGGTGTAAGAGTCGTCTTTTGCCCACCAGCGGGCGCGCTTGTCCGAGTGTCGGTCGTCCCCCCGAGGGGAGTACCGCTTGCCCTTTCCTTTCCAATCTGAGTCCGTCCATGGGGCTTCACGCCGATCCCACGCGGTCCATTCCTGCCAGCCCCGCCACTGGCTGGGGGTGGCTGTACCGATGGCTCCAGCCCGAGCGGTCCTGTGCAGCCGCGGGAGCGACCGCTCTGCCCTCGGTTGCCCATGGGGCGGGCTTGTTGCTGCTGCCGTAGTCACGCGGGGCATGCGCACGGGCGTCGTGGCGCATGGAATTCATGTGCTTGTCCCTGACTGCTGCCCAAGTTACGCCGAGCCCGAATTCACTATCCATCCGGTAAGCATCGTGGCCTGCGTTGCTCCAAGCCTCGAGGAAATCTGCGCACGTCTGGGGTGTGTTCAGTTTGGGGGTGCTCTTGTGGCCTCCACTGGGTCCTGCCTCAAGGCAGCCCGCATAACCCATGCGTGCCATATGCCACTGAACGCGCCTCCCAGCGTCTTTTGTAGGCGTATAACTTTGTCCTGTATGGGCTCGTCCCTCTCCACGTCTGCAGTTGCGATGGTGCACCTGTGCATGGGACCGCATCCCATGGGGTCGTTCAGATTCTCGTAGTGTGGCTGAGCGATCCTGACCTCCCTCCAGGGCGTCCCGCGGCTCTCCGCTCGCGTGGGGTTGCCCCCTGGTGATTTGGCGGCACGCCCTTCCCCGTCTTTGATGTCCTCTGACGCGGGCCGGTGGCGCCCCTTGTCCCCAGCCGCGCGGCTGAGGATGCGGTCGTCCCTGGCTCCCGTGATGTCCCAGGCCGAGCTGCTTTCCTTCTTGGAGCTGTCTTTAGCACTCCAAAGCGCCAGGGCGGCATCTCGATCGACGGTGTGTGGGTAGGGGGTCCAGGATTTGTCCTTTGGGGGCGGGTTTTTAAAAGCGCCGATGGGATCGAAGAGGTCTTCCTCCTCGCTTTCGTCCGCGACTGGTGTCGGGCTAGCAACTGGGCTCGCTTCTTTGGCTGTGGCTGCTTCGCTTCCCGCGTCTTCATCCCAGTCGGGTGCATCCGGCTCACCCTCGGCCTTGCCTGCCTGGTCGCAAGAGCCTTGCCCTTCCGCTGGAGGGTCTTTGGCCCCGTCGTCGCCTGGGGTCTGTGGATCTGCCCTGGATGGGGCGGCCTGGTGCTGCCTCCCGTTCTGGGCCGTGGCTGTCTGCTGGAGGGGTGTCTGCTGCCTCGTCTGTCCTGTTCAGCCAGAGCGCCGCTGGAGAATTGGCCGCGGTTGCGTAGTCCGTGTCCGTCTGAAGTGGATCACGGTTGGCCAGCTCTCTGATGGTGCCGTCGGCGAGGGCCGTGGGATCCATTCCCATGAGGTATTGTAATAGGGTGCTGAGCCGCTGGCGGAGGGGACACTCGCCCCGCTGCTCGGCTAGGTCGGCGGCGTATCCACGCCACCTGGTCTCATGCATCACGTTGGCCCTCGTTAGGTGGTACACTACTCGTGCCGCCGCGGCCCGCTGGCTGTCCCATGGGATGCCGGGGGTGGTGGCAGTTATCGGGGATCGTATCCCCGTAGATGTTGACCAAGAATTGGCGAAGACATTGGGGGGGCCAAGACCCTTCGTTGGTCTTATCGCCCGGTATTCCGACGCCGTATTGCTCCACGTACTCCATCCATTTCCCGTAAATGGTGGGGTTCCACTCTAGGAGGTACTTGACCAATGAGCGTAAGGCGCAGTCTGAATCCTTCCCTGCGAGCCCAAAGGTGGAGTGGGTTGGGAGGGCGGGCCCAACCGGCGGGGAGATGTCGGGGAACAAGGATTTGATGTCCCGCGCGGCAGCTCCTGACCCGTTACTCTCCCCGACGGGGCCGCCTTGGCCAGTGCCAGTAGGAGGGGACGGCGCTCCGGTTGGGACGGGTGGCTTTGTGTGTGCATCCGTGGCTGCAGCGTTAGCGCAGTCCGGAGTGAGGTAGACGCTGATGTCGTGGCGCTCCGTCTGCACTTCTGCTGTTGCTGCCCGCTTGGCTGGTGCCGTGGGTCATATTTTTTTGATCAGCGGCCCGCAAGGAAGAGTCCAGAGGGCATGTCAATCACCGTGGGGTATACGCGAAGCGTCAACATTTTCGTTTCTCCTTGGGACGGTTGTTTCAAACTGCATGGAACGTGAGCGCAAGCGGACTGCAATTGTCGAGTGCTGACCAACTTGAACGAACATTGTCACAACGTTCAGTACAAACATATTTGAATATACATGCTGCCGATTATGTCTTCTGTTCCGACCCAATGTAACAACCGTTTAGTTGAAGTCTCTCCCTCCCCTCCCATCCTTTGCGCCGAACGAACGCTTCGGCGTCGGGTTCGTGTAGGCCTCGGATGTGTTGTGCGCCTTGATGCCAGGCTCGGGGACGCAATACCCTGCTCGCCCGACAAGGAGACGCTGACGACAAGGCAGATATGAAACAATGAGGTTGGAGCGCGGGCACCAGGACCCAGAGGCTGCGCCGAACGCTTCTGCCCCCTGCCAGCCCTCGAGCGAACTAGTGCGAGAAAACGTATTAACCGATCCACAAGTCCAACCCACAACGCGCACGCGTGCATATCCGTACACCCACAACCCACACAGAGACACCCTCGTTCACTACGCACATCGCACACAAGTGCGCACTATGCAGACACGCACGCACGCGCATACGCACACACACACAAACACACGAGCAACAACCACGTCACACAACACACCAACACGCAACATACTACACAGAACACCACACACGTCTTGACTGTAGCGGCCAGTTGAGACACCAAATGAATTGCACATATGCGCCAACCAATGCAACTGGCGGCAAGAGACAAGGCCTGCAAGAGCGGGGTTCGCGGGGGGAGCAGGCTTGCGAGCCAATGTCCAGACTTGGCGAGCAAACTCGCTCGAAAGAGACAAGGCACGCGCCGAGTCCAGCGTATTCCCGGATGCTCCGATTGCAGAAAGCAAATGCCAAAGACATCGCAACACTTGGCGAGCGATACCGCCGCTCACGAGGCCCAGAGCTGCACGTGGAGAGTCGGACCGCCAATCTACGCGAGGGGACCTCCTGAATTGCAGCTCAGCCGACCCGGGCGTTGCCGAGGGCGAAACGGCGCGGCCGCAGCTTGAGCAACAGGCCTGGGATGAAAGCGTTGGCGGAACGCACCAAGATGAATTGCGCGCGCATCCATGATGTGTCGGTGCCGACCTCAACACGCGCTGACTTGAGGGGGCCAGCCTGAGGACTTGCCTGTGCGTCGGTAGCCTGGGAGTGAGTCGTGCGTCTTGTGCTCGGCGGGCGCCAGGGGAAACGGCGCCGCGTTGCGAGGCACTCATGCTGACCAGAACCTGCGGGACTTCGAGGAAGCAACGTCGCAAAAGGGGGGCCGCGAGCAACGCGGAAGGAGACAGGGGGAACCGGACGGCAGGAAGGCAAAGTATACAACCAACCAGTGGAACGGTGTCGAGTGAGTGGTGGCAGCAGATTCTTCGGACGACCAACGACACAAGCAACCCATCGAAGTGCCACCTTCATAATATACCTGTCGGGGCACCAATCGGGTGAACTGACAGACAACTGCGCGGCCAGCTGGCGCAAGGGAGAACAAGGTGCAGACTGAACTGAGGCCGGCCATCTGGCTGGCCAAACGCTGCGGGGGAAGCAAAACAGACACAGTGCTCAGAGACAGAAGGGGGCGCAAACGTGGCGGTGAAGGAGGACACAAGAACACAACGGCTGCGGAGGACAATCTGCACCCTATGCAAGCACTTTTCCCTCCAGAGTGCCGATTGGTTGCAGTCGGCAGGCCAAACGCTACAATAGCGAGCTGCGCCCAATCTAAATTGACCACCTCGTGTGGGGGCCAAACGAAAACATTACCCCCCAGTGAACTCGACCGTGCCCGACCGCTGGGAAAATATGACTTGGCGCATGGACAATCAACAACGAAACGAGCAACAAACGCACGCTTTTTTTGCTTCCCGGCCAGTTGATCCAACGCAGCGATTGATAAGACGGAGCTCGCCTAATATCCATTAGCACCGAGCGTTTGCCGGTGAGGGGCCAAGACGCCTGACATGCACCTGACGCGTGCAAGAAAAGGGGGGGAGGGGGGCGAAGTAGTCGATGCACGTGGAACATGCCGAAGCCATGCAGAGTAGCGTGAAGACTACACGAGTGATGAAACCCGACCAAGCGCCATCCAACGAGAGTTACGGCAGAGTGCGAGAAGGCGAGGGGGAAGACAGAAAGGTAACGCTGCGGCGAGTGTGTGTGTGTGGGACGATGATGGCACGCAGGCCATCGGGAGACCCAGCAGCAGGCGTGTCGTCAAGCTGTAAGCCCGCGAGGCCTCAGGCAGCGCCGAACGGCAGGACAACGAAGCGCCAGCACCCGGAGGGACGACATGGACGAGCAGCAAGGCAGCATGGGGCACAGGATGGGGAGCGACATCCTGGAACGAGGAAGAGGCTGGACCTGGGGGAGGGAGGGGGGGGCGAACGACGGAGGGACGACCCAGGAGAGGACGACACCAGGGCGACAGCCCGAGGGACGAGCAAGATGAGGAAGCAGAGGGGCGACGCAGGACGGCGGCGACGGCGAAGGACGATACTACCAGGCGGCGCACCGAAGCCATGGGCCAAACAACCCGAAAAGGCCAACAGGCCGGTGGGCCAGGCAGGCGACTCTGCGAGGGGCACCGTGAGAGGCCCGCCCAAGGACATGGGCAGCTAGAGAGGCCGACTGGCCGCTGGCCAGACGGGCCGCTCTGCCGTGGGTAGAAGTCCCAGGCGGACGCCCACAGAGGCAAGAAGCAAGGTGCAGAGAAACGCGTGTGCTGGGCGTGCCAAGCAAGCGGCTGGAGACGGCCCCGTAACCTACACTCGTAGGCAGGGACGGGCGTGTGCCGCAAAATGGGGGGCGGCCCGGGCGCCCTTGGGGGGAAGGGAGAGCCAGAGTACCCTCGATGCGTAAGGTAATCCCAAACGCCAGAGTCGGGGATCTTCTGACCTGGGTCAATCCAGACCTGGGTCAGTCAGGCCTTGCAGAATCCTGCAAAGTCCTGCACCCACCCCCGGGTCAATGCGAATGATCCTGCAAGATCCTGCGCCCAGACCCTGGTCAGTGCGACCCTGGCCCTGCAGGATCCTGCAAGATCGGGCGCTCTGGCTGACCCCCGTTTGCATCGACCCCCGTCTCCAGGCTCCCGAAGGTCAGGCGTTCGGGCGCCGCCGGCAGAAGACGAGCAAGACGTAAGCGCACGCCGCACACGTGCACTTCTGCCTCCAACGGCGCGGCGGCGGCGCCGTCGCAAGTGCTAATCCGGGGCATACCTAACCGACATCCAATTGGCGCAGGAGGTGGGTCGACACACGCCGCACACACACACACACACGCGCTCACACTCGCTCGTTCACATGTGCATGCGCACGCGCACGTGCAAATGCATACACGCACATACGGATGCACTCATACACCTGGGCTTGCAGGACGAGGGCAGGACGAGGGCAGTACTCATTGTAGTGGCGTGCGTGCGTGAATCGTCGATCTCAGACAATCGCAACATGGCAAAGTAAATCTGGTCCGTAAAAAAACAAGTATAGCAAGTACACAACGCAACCATTCGGGTATACAGGCCAGTGAACGCGCCATGCGAAGGGTGGATGTGGATGCCCTGCGTCCAAGAAATCTGAAGTAACGACGAACTAATATGCTTGGGAACGTCAAGAGCAAAACTGTACTCGCACATCGTGCGTGATATTAGGAGTCCATCGCATGGGTGCCACCGCACATGGAGCTGATATCTTTAGTACGCAGGGTACCGAACACTACAATAGGCAAAGCGTGCCTTCGACAAGACAAGCGACGACCATTTCCGTTAACACGATGGAACTGGCAATGAGTTCGAACGGTGCGTCAAGATCGTTCTGGTGATTTTCAAGCTAACAACATGTTCAAACCAACACTTGCGCAAACACGAGCAGCAAACAAACATCTCGCAACCGTGCGTGACCGTGCACGCTCTACAAATCAATGTCGTTTCCGAGGCCACCCCATGGTCCATGACCGGCGCGGAGGCATGGTCACCGTGAGCCACAGGTCTTGTGGTACGCCTTTCGTGGAGCGAATTGGCCATCCCGCGCAATCAAATCATCCTTCGCTGATGTCTCCTGTTAATGCGAATGTGTTGTCAAAGGCATTCCCAGTGGTGGTGCAACTGATTTTCCCGCTGGAGAGTAGCGTGCCTGCGACGCGCGCCCGAGATAAAACTGTCGCCCTCGCCCCAGCAGCTTTCGCAAGTTTGTGCTGGTAGTCCTGTCTAAAGCGCTCGTGGAAGATGTGGTTGACTCTGCGCTGCTGGCCTTCCCAACTCTGACGCATCCGTCCGCAATGATGGCTGCATGTTGCTCTTGTCCACTTCTTGCAGCAAGCCGCCCGTAGCTTCCAGCGCCGCCTTGCGGTCGTGCTCCTGGCAGCGTCCAGCGAGCGCCGAGTGCTCTCGACACGTCTCGCAAGGAACCGCCTGCCGAGCGCGCTGTGAACCATCTCTTGGGACCAGCCCGTCCGTAAATTGTCGTGCTTGCTTTGCCGCAGAGATCATGCTCTGCACTGGAAGGGAAGCATCTGGCGGATCCGGCCTCGCAGTGCACGCAATGAATCGCCCCTTTGGCCCATGAGTCGGAGCCCTGCGGAGTCCTCATATCCGCAATATCGCCGCAGGGTGCATCCCTATCCCGACAGGTGGTGGGAGACTCCGCCAGGTAGTCATGGTCGATGTCTGGCGTAGCATCGTGCTCGTTCTGTATCAGCCAAAAAGACCCAGGGTAACATTTCCGAGTGCACGGCGCTGGCAACCGATAGCCGCTGTATCGGGCTTGGCGCATCGCAAAAGAACTTCTTCTCGCCCGTGTCGCCGCGCCAACGACCGCCCGCACTGCTGCACTGGTAGAGCTTGCTAGCCGTATCCGAAAGCCGTGGTCTAGCCATACGTTACTCCAAACACACACACACACACACACCACACACATTTTTTAGAGAGGCGATTCGTGGTACCGTCGCGAGCACTGAATCGGGCCGTGACTAGTTCAATTCCACCCGGCGTTGCAGGTGGGGGGACTGAGCTGGGCCAGTGGCCTGCAGAAGAAAACTGCAGCAGCGGGTGGGTGAACGGCTGGGTGAGCAAACGCATGAGGCCGCGCGGCGGGACGCCGATGCCATGCATACACCGATGCACCTTTTCATCCCCAGTGATGGTGCAGCACCGATCGATCGATCGCAAGCCAGGCGCGTTGGCGTAACCTGCGCTCTGTGCGTCTGACGATCGCACTCGAGCCAGGGCCCTGGCCTCCGGTTGACGGCCAGCCCAAGGCGAGCATGGAAGGGAGGTGATAAAAAAACATGCAAGCGACCAAGAGGGAGGCGAGGAAGATAGATACGGTCAGGTTTTTTTGCTTAGCGTGTCGCAGGGGCGGCCCTGGCGACACGCTATGCCTTCCGCGCGGACAGCGTGTCGCTCCACTCCGTGTGGCGGGAGGCTGGGAAAGACTCGGGGCGTTGATACCTGGAAATTGGGAACTGCTTAGCGTGTCGCGCCGAAGCGCGGTGGGCCAGATCCGGCAGCGCGACAAGCTAAGCCAAAGTTCCTGATCGCAGGAGGCACGGCTCGCCGTGGGCCTGGTGCAACTCCCTGGAAGGAAAGTGCAGAGCGGCAAGAGCGTGCATGGGGACAAGAAGACAGGAGGAGGAACGACAAGGGGAGAAAAGGCACAATCCCACAAAGGAGAGAACGACGCAATAAAACGCTGAGGACGACAAGAAGGAAGAAACAACGGGCAACAAACCTCGACCGAAAGCCAGAGGCAAGAACAACCGCGATCGCGGGCCTTGCCTCCTGCCGCGACTTGGGCCCTGGCACACAGGGACGAAAACGCAACAATCGGCCTCAACGGGAGGGGCCTGCCGAGAGCGCGCCAAACTGGAGCTGCGCCCATCTCCAGCGTTCTCGGGAACTCGCAGACATCTGAACGGAACCCTGGCGGACTTGTGACTCGGGCGCGTACCCTTTCTGGCCCACTGACGAGCTCGACATCGTACCACCTCCATCCCTCCAGCAGAAGGCAAGGTTGGGGACTTGCCGTCGCTCGGACGTCCGTTCCCCGTGCATTTTCCGGTTTCGTGCGTGCTCTTTTTGCCAGATGGTCGAGGATGCTCCTCGAAGGTCCTCGCCGAGAAAGCAAATGCACACGTCCGAGCGATGCCAAAGGGACCGTTGGACCAAGGCACTTCCACTCTGCCCTGCCGGCAGGCCCGGCGCGCCGCAGCTCTTCATGCAGATGTCGCGGCCGACGTTGCCCAGGTTGGTCGTCGCGTCGCAATAGCCAATTGAAGCCGCGCGCTCGCACGAGAGCCTCGCTGCAGGCAGAGACAGAGAGAACGGGAGGGACAGAAAGAGAGAGAGAGAGAGAAAGACGGACACGAGAAGGGACAGGCACAGCGACAATGTTCCTGTACTCCTCCTGCTCCTCCTTCCCCTTCCTCTCCTCCACCTCCTCCCTTTCACTGTCCTCCTTGCCCTCACTCCTCCTCCTCTTCCCCTTCCCCTTGATGTTAGCCTCCACTCGCCCAGCAGGCGGCGAGCTCACCGACAACGCCGAAGCAGTTCGGGGGAGGACTGGGCTCCAAGCAGCTGGGCGATAGAGACGATGCGAGAGGGAGGCGAGAGAGAGAAAGAGAGTGAGAGAGAGACAGCGGGGGCAAGAGAGAGAGAGAGAGAGAGACAGCCGGGGCAAAGCCAGAAACTTCCTCCTCCTTCTCCCTCCCCTTCTTCTCCTCCACCATCGAAATCTGGAGCTGGGAGGGCTCTGCACCGGTCTGCGAAGCTCGTGGGGGGGGGGCACCGAGGCCGGGGCACGGCGAGTGCCGCGCGGCCGGGAGGGAGAGCCGTGCCACGGGGGCAGCCGAACCAACGGCTGGGGCCTCGCGCGTCGCCACCAGGGCCACAGAGTGCACGGTCTCCCCTGGGGCCGTAGGCGACCCGAAAATGAGGAGGAGGAGGAAGGGGAGGGGGAGGAGGTGGAGGGGGAGGAGGAGGTGAAGGAGGAGGAGATGAATGAGGAGGAGGAGGAGGGAGGAGGAGGAGGAGGAGGAGGAGGAGGAGGAGGAGGAGGAGGAGGAGGAGGAGGAGGAGGAGAGGAGGGGAGGAGGAGGAGGAGGAGGAGGAGAGGAGGAGGAAGAGAGAGGAGGAGGAGGAGGAGGAGGAGGAGGAGGAGGAGGAGGAGGAGGAGGAGGAGGACGGGTCGCCTAAGCCCTTCGGAGGAACCCTCCACCACGGACTGGCCGCGGGGGGACCATCGGGCCACGAAGCCGCCGAACCGACCCTCGGGCTCTACCCCGCAAGCACAAGTGCCACCCGGGCAGAGGGACCGCTTCCTGCTGTCCCCCCCTTCGCGCGATGGGGGCCGTGCGGCCCTGGGGGGCCGGCGGGACGGCCGCCAGCGGCTCCAGGGCCTCACGCCCGGGGCCGTGGGGCCCGCGAGGGGGCCTTTGGAGCTCCACGGGGTACTCGGAGCTCTCAAGCACAGGGTGCAGCCAGGAGCTCTACGGGACACTGCGGAGTCGACTGGGGGCGACGGAGCTGGCTCGTGCGCCCCCCCCCCCAACGCACCGAGGACCACTGCGGGGTGGGGCCGGCGGGCTCGATTCGCTCGGGCCGCGCCGCAGGGCGCGAGGAACGGCATGGGGGCCCAGGCCCGCGAAACACAAGCCGAACCGAACCCCGTCGCGTGGAAGCCAGGACGGGGCCACCGAACGAGCCTACAAGGCGCCTCGTGCTCCGTGCAACCCCGGGGGTGCCGCCCCCGACAACTTTCCTGAGTTGGCGCACGAACCCTCAGACGGCGACGGCGGCGCCGACGGCGGACGTCGACGTCGACGTCGACATGGACGTGGACGTGGACGTGGACGACGACGACGACGCGGCGGCGCGACGACGGCGGTGGCAAGCGTGAAGAAGAGGCGGGTCCCGTTGATGGTGATGGTGCGGTCGGCGCACCCCTCCGCCACGCGCGTCGAGCCCTTCGTGGCCTGAGGCAGGGGGGAGGCTGATGAGGGGGAGGAGCATGGGGCGGATGGGGAAGAAGAGGCGGAGGGGGACGAGGAGGACAAATAGCAGGATGATCAAGTTTGCCAGGTCGAACCAGTCAGTGGACCCCGCCGATTCCCGCCCTCCCTCCCATAGCATAATACGATCAAGTGTGGCACACCTTGATGCTGTGTGATTGGAACAAACTCCTTCTGCGAACGGAAGGTATTCGCGCGCGTTTTTGATTCCGACGACTCGGCGAAGGGATAACTTCGCGGGCTGTGGAATGGGCGGGGGCGGAACATTAGAACATCTCTGTACGGTGCTGCGGAGAAAGCGCCATTTAACCTTCAGGTGAGCTGGGATAGGCCGATGTCAGCTATGACAACAAAGTTGTCCCGCGTATGCCAGGGTTGGCCAACCCGAACAAATCAGTCCAGCTGGGGAAGGCCAGATGAATGCAACCGCAAGCGAAGCTGGCCACATGATGCTCCAACTGGCCAGGCAACTATTAACGGGGCTCTGGGCTTTGTTCGACCAGCGTCAGACAAGGATCATGCTGCGGGACATGACAAAGGACTTTGGTCGGCGGCACACCACGGGTGACCCAATTCGTTGAACTCTTCCAGGGGGAGCATGACGGAAGAAACGCAAAGAGCGAGGATAGGGAAAAAGGTGATGCCATCTTGTGATGAACATATACAAGCGACGCGCGTGATTTGCAAAAATGGTTCCCCTGCTCGGGCAAATCGCGGGGGGGCGCCGGCCAAATGGACACGCACGGCGGCGGCGCCGGTGATTAGCGCAGGCGCCCGGCCGACAGCAGGCGCGCGACAAGCGCGACGCAAGCGGCGCCGCTTCACCAGACGGGGACAGCAGCGCCTCCGCTATAGCGGGGCGGTTGGGCCAAGATGGTTGCATGTAGGAGAGAAAATAGAGGCGGGGGCAAGAGGCACCTCAGCTGGCGGGCGGTGCCAGCATGGCTACAGAAAAGGGGGGAAAACCAACAAAAGCAAGCGGAAAGGGCTCCTCCTTCTCGTTCTCCGCCCCATCCCTCCACTACAATATCCTACGACGACGACGGCGGCGGCGGACGCATTCCGGATGCTCCATGGTGGGTGGGAGCGGCGGGGGGGCTGCAAATGCCCGCTGTGCTCGTCGACGACGACGACGAGAAGGACGAGGACATGGACGCGGACGAGGACGACGACGAGGACAACGACCACGACCACGACGACGACGACAACGACGACGCGACGCCGACGGTGACGATGACGACGCAATGGTGTGCTGCTGCGTAGGCCCGCTGTAGTCGTCGTCGACGACGACGACGACGACGACGGCACGACGACGATGACAACGCGATGGGAACGGCGGTGACGGACGATGCACTTCGGATGCCCCAGGGGGGGGGTGAGTAGGCGCGCCGCAATCGACGACTGGGACCAGGAACCACGACGACGACGACGGCGACGACGACATCGACGAAGACGGCGACGACGACGAGGATGACGAGGACGACGAGGACGACGGCGACGACTGTGGCAAGCGCGTCAATAGTCAGACTGAAAGAGGGAAGAACTTTGCCTCGGAGGTGAACGATTCCTATAACGATCCCTACAACAACTTCTACACGAAAAAACCAATCGCTCTGAGGCTGCCGCGCAGGGGAGTACATCCCCTCGGCGGCGCCGGGGACGACCCCTTGGCGCGCGTCATTGAAAAATTGTTTCGCGCCCCGGGGAATCTTGTCATAAGCCCCAGGGGGGTCTCATTTGTTAAACACAAGCTGACATTGGGAGGAGAGGCGGAGGGAACGCCCTGGCCGAAGAATCGTCAGTCCTTTTCACACCGAGTGCTGCAATGCCCAAGACCGCAACCGACAGAACGCCCCACTAGGGTGACATCAGACAAGCTCCCCAACTCCCACCAGCCCTCTGGGCGAAGGTGGGTCAGTTGGACAGCTCTTCCATTCCCCTTCTTCTTCTTCTTCCTCCTCCTCTGGGAAGTATCTGCCGCTCCCCCTGTCCCACGTCGTAACGCGTCCTCTCCATTGCCTGGGGGCTGGACATGGCTGGCCATTTGGCACGGTGGCCGTCCCTGGCCAACCGATGAGACAAGTAACATGCACATTGTAAGTTAGCGGCGCAGAGGGTCCTCAGGCGCGAGCAGCAGATGGAAGTGCCTATTGAGATCGAACCTGGTCGAAGGCACAGTTTAGAATCAATGCACACTGTCAAGTGCAGGAATGGAAAGGAATATGCACACGCACATACATACAATCCTTGGTGGGCGGAGCTGGCTTGGTCGGCAATCTTCGACATGGCGGCCGACGGTGAAACACATGAGGGCAAATCCCACCAGCGTTCGCCGGCGCACCCGGCTCGGAACCGAAACGGCCAAGGAAGGAAAGTACATCTAATGCGGCAGGGCATGCTCACGAGAGCGAGCTCAGGAGATGCTCGCGAACACTCCCTCGCACCTCGGCGCGCTGGTCTCCGTGGAGACTGTCAGGGGCCGCCCGGGTGCCTCTCGAGAGGCCGACTGGGGGCCTTGTAAAGGCCCCCTGGTGGCCTCCTGAAGGTCTCTGGCGGCCTCTCGGGGGCCTCCAAAGGGTTCCTGGGATCGTTCTTGGCACCAGCGACGTTTTCCCTGGTTTGCGTTCTCGAGATTTGGAGCGGCTTGGGGCCCTGTTGGGGCCCTCTTGCGCGTCTTTTGGGGCCCGCCGGGGGGACCCATGGGCTGTCTCGGGGCGTTCCCGAGCCCGCCTTGGGGCCCTGTTGGAGCCTTGTTGAAGTCATCCCGAGGTCTCCGGAGGCTGCTGGATTTGTTACCTGGTGGCTCCAACCACAGCGAGCAGGGGGTGACCCCTGCCCGTCATCCAAGACCCGCAGTTATGGCGAAAACCGCAGGTCGGCACAAGGGGAGAGAGCCTCTCAAAGCAGGAGGGCAGAGGAACAATGCAAGACGGCACAACTCGTCGACGTCCTGCAGGCTTTCGCACGCCTTTGGCCCCTTGGGGGCTCTGTGTGGGCGTGTGGGGCCCCTCCTGGGGGCGGGCGGCCTAGAGGCTATGTTGGCGTGCCTTCCCTCGTCTCGCCTTCGGCCGTCATGGGGGGCGTCTTGGAGAGACGGGCTCGCTAGTGTCCTCGCTTGGCGCTGGCCGGAGGGGTCGACCCCTCTATTCGGGGAAGTCCGCGTCGCAAGACTTCCTCTTCTTCTGGAGCTCCACGCCCAGCTCCCCCGGACTATGAAGAGCAGAACTGACGACCGCAACGGAGGGAGGTGCAGCCGCCCTCAGGCGCACTCCGCGACGGCTTCAACGCCAACGCCAACCTCCGCGGGCACCACAAGCAGGACGACGCCCACGCGCAGCCAGCTCCCTCACCTGGAGCCCGACTCGCGCGACTTCCCCCCTCGCTTTGCTAGAAGACGCGATTCAAGCTGGCTGGCGGTCTGGCGCGATGGCCGCTGCCGGCCAGGCGCGAGAAGCCCGCGCGGGCTCCCCCCAAAAGGCCGCTCGGAAAGCTCCGTGGAGGTTCCGAGACGCCCCTGAGGGCCTCTCGGGCACGCCGCCAGCACACGTGGGCCGTCTGAGACCAGCTTCACTGGGAAGGCGGGCCGGAGAAGCCTCCACCCGTGTCCTGCCCCTCCTCCTCCTCCTCTTTCTGCCCATCCTTCCTCCTCCTCCTCCTCCTCCTCCTTGTGCCCATCCTTCCTCCTCCTTCTGGCCATCCTCCCTACTCCTCATCCTCCACCTCCTCCTTCTCATGCTCCTGACGTAAAAGAAACATGTGCCGACGGGCCGGCCCGGCCCGCGGCGCGGCCCCCGGGTCCTGGTCGCAGGTCCCACAGCTGTTCGGGCACAGGTCCTTTCTGATGTTGTAGCGCAGCCCGCCCATTGTCACCTCGGGCCGAGGAGAAGAAACATCAATATAGATTCAAGCATTCGGGAACGTAGACATATACATAGGATTTGTACGGAAATTTTGCGATCGCGGCAACAAGCGTGATACAATACAATTAATAGCAACTTCAGTCGCAGTAGAGGCGGTGGTATTGGTAGTAGCAGTCATGGCGTATGTGTACATTCTTGCACTTACAACCGTTTTCTACGTTGATTGGCGACTGCATGCGTACCACACAGCAGAGACAGCATCCAAGCCAAGATCACGCTCACACTAGCGTCAAGATCGCACCCTCTTTTGTTCACACATGAGACTCCTTGCCCCTCAGCACAACTGCACACCTATTCTTTCCACATCCGACTTCGCGTGTCAATTTGCATGCCAAGCGCACTCCGGCAGTGATCGCAATTCATCCAAATAAACTTGTGGCTCGCTGGCGACGCGTCAACGGCCATCATACCGTCACGATGTCCATCATCCTCAACCTTATCGTCCTCGTCGTCCCCTCGTCTCATTCGGCGCCCGACTCCACCCCCTCTGGCCCCATGTCCGAGCAAACCGCAATGGGAGGGCCGCTGCGGGCGGCCAGACCTAGGCCGGGCTGGGCCTCCTCCTCCTCCTCCTCCTCTTCCTCTTCCTCCTCCTCCTCCTTCTCCTCCTCCTCCTCCTCCTCCTCCTCCTCCTCCTCCTCCTCCTCCTCCTCACACTCCACCTCGTCATCCTCCACCTTGTAAGCAGGAGGAGGGGGAGCACGACAAGGAACAGCAGCATAAGGATAATGAGGAGGAGTGGCAGCAGGATGGGGAGGAGCAGGAGGAGGAGGAGGAGGAGGAGAAGGAGGAGGAGGATAAATCCGCCGATCCGGCGTGTGAGTTTCTGAGAGTGTGGGCTTGAGCTCGCTCAAGGGCTTCGCTTCGTTGGGGGGGTCGGGATCCGGCGAATTATCCACGCAATTCACTGAACGCTCCAGCGCGGGGGGGGGTCCAAGAATCGAGGGAGGGGGGGGGGAGCTCGAGCGAAGACGGGGGGGGGTGTCGAGCTCCAGCGGGGGGAGGGGTTCCAAGGAGGAAGCTCGAGCGGGAACGGAGGGGGGGGTCGAGCTCAAGCGGGGGGAGGGGGGG